TAATTTCTTTCACCCCAATCGGTACGAAGCCAGAAGCCACCCGGTCACTGAAGCGTGACGCCCCAATCGGTCCAAACTGGCGACTCAGGGTTTTACAATAGGCAACATAAATTGAAGTCTGGCCATTGTTGGAGGATTATTCGGCCCGCTGGGATTACCAGCGGCAACTTCTATGAAGCTCATCACAGTCATTGTTGCCTACTGGAGGATTAGCGCGTCGCAAATTGGTTCCTTTGTGATGAGCCAGAGCCGTGGCGCAGTAGCCTGGTGGAGTTAATCTAGGCCGATCGGTTCCATGCAAGGTCCCAATCCCTTCAACATACTGGGCGGGCTCAACCCCGAAGGGTCCGGGGAGGGATTCTAATTTGAGGGCTCGCCTTACGTAAGGAATCCAACCTGTGTTTTGTATTGCCCAATAAATTTGTTATGGTTATCCCTATTATTAGAAAACTGAGCCAAGTTTTGAACTGCATATGAACTGGGCTTGCTTTACTTCCATTTCAGTCCCGCAATGTTGTTGCCAAGGATTCCCTGGAAATGTAATTCTACCTTCCACTTTCGCAACAGGCTTGCCGAGGGGCGATTTTTTTCCTCCCAAACGACATCCGCATATTGGCGAAGACTTTTGCGGATCTATAGCTTTCAGAAAACGAGGGGCGGGGAGTGCTGAAAGCGTGCCTTTCTATAGGGGTTCCGGGGACACACGATGCTTTCTCATGCATTCTACTAGGCAATTTGAGAACACATTAATTTTGGAAGTTTTTCTTCCATGTATTATTTTTGGTCCCATCTTAATAGTACACGTATCATAACATATGTCAGCGGCTGAACGTTTGTTGGGGTGGGGGGGGGGGGCTGATCCGCTACAGTGTGTACAAAGGACACATCTGTTATTCTATTTCTAGTTTATACATTTAAATTTTGTTATTTACATAACATCTGTCAGTTTATTTAGTTGACCACATATTAGTCACACTGAAATTGAAAACATAACTGTTATAAACTGGAGCTGGCAAAACCGTATGGCATCAAACGGGGAAAGTACTGCTTTTTTATTTTATTATTAATGTACGTTGTCTTTATAATGTGCTCTTTAATTTGAATTTTATTTCGTCTGGAAGAAGCTGTAGGAAATGACGTAAATAGTAAACAAAGGAATAAACACAAGGCACTTTTGTATGGTATTTTCATTGACAAAAGAAGGAGGTTTATGTTGCAAAACTCCATTACAGGGACAATTAAACAGTCCGACCTGCCCCTGTAATGTATAACATCTTTGATTTTATGATTCGGATGTACTCCTTCATGCAGTTGTCATCCAACAGGGATTATGAATAGCAAACCACCTACCAAACAAATACAAAAATCATGTGAGTAATTCTTAATGATACTCGAATGGCAATATTTAATTAGAAAGTACCAAGGTAACAGGGAAAGAAATCACACTTTGGACCCTAAATTTATAAGAATGACCGATATTCTATTGACGTATGTTGTGACCGAACTACATTTAACCAAAATGGGATTCGAACATGGGCAAAGCAATTTTTGTTCATGCTTATACCCGCAAATTTAAGGTTTACGAGAGGGTTCAGCCATTAGTGCTAGATGAGCATGCCTCTTAGGATGAGTTTTTACTAACGGTCGCGTAACGGGGCATATAAGTCGAACACCTTAACCATTAAACTGGTGGCGGAGGGCTCGTACCATAGTTTCAACGGGGGCACTGTTCAAATCCAACGATTTTTAACACTATATAACAAAATAGTGCACAAAAACCCCCTAACCAAGCTGCTTTGTCCATATTTCGTGCACAGTAAATTTTTGTTGGGGGTGACTGTCAGAGCAGAAGGGGGTGGGGTGGAGTTCGCATTATTTTGTATGAATTTCTATGAACACTTTTTGTTTTGACAGACCTGGGCGGGGGGGGGGGGGGGTGACTCCACCCCCCGAATCCGCGCCTGGATATGTGAGTTGACGCTCGATTGTCATGATTGCTGTGTTTACTGCCGTTTGTTTTCGTGATATTTAAATCAAAATCCAAAGAATCCAAGACAGTGGTATAACAAAACAAGTGTTGACTGCTGTGATGTTGGATTGACGTTTTGAACACCCTCGGGGCACATAGCACCCCTTGGGTGTTAAAAATGTCATATCTAATATCACAGCAGTTAACAATTGTTAATTCGCGCACATTTAGCCGCTATTTATGCAATTTGTATTCAGCTACTTTATGAGGCTGGCTCTAAATGGTTGATTAAAACTCAACCAAACGACTGACAAGCAACCCAACTCCCCTTCAAATATTTACTTACGTAAGGAATCCAACCTGTGTTTTGTATTGCCCAATAAATTTGTCATGGTTATCCCTATTATTAGAAAACTGAGCCAAGTTTTGAACTGCATGCATGACTTTATAGCTTGCTGTACTTCCATTTCAGTCCCGAAATGTTGTTGCCAATGATTCCCTGGAAATGTAATTCTACCTTACACTTTTGCCGAGGGGCGATTTTTTTTCCTCCCAAACGACATCATCATATGGGTGAACGCTTTGGCGGATCTATAGCTTTCACAAAACGGGGGAGGGGAGGGGGGCGGGTGCTGAAAGCTTGCCTTTCTACAAGGGGTTCCGGGGACACACGATGCTTTGTTATGCATTCTGATATAGGCAATTTGTGAACGCATTTATTTTGGAAGTTTTTCTTCCATGTATTTTTTTTGGTCCCATCTTAACAGTACACGTATAATAACATATGTCAGCGGGTGAACGTTTGGGGGGGGGGCGATCCGCTACTATATGTACAGAGGACACATCTGTTATTATATTTCTAGTTTATACATTTATTTTTTGTTATTTACATAACATCTGTCAGTTTATTTAGTTGACCACATATTAGTCACACTGAAATTGAAAACATAACTGTTAACTGGCGCTGGCAAAACCGTATGGCATCAAACGGGGAAATTACTGCTTTTTTATTGTATTAATGTACATTGTCTTTATAATGTGCTCTTAAATTTGAATTTTTTTCGTCTGGAAGGAGCTGTAGGAAACGACGTAAATGGTAAACAAAGGAATTAACACAATGCACTTCTGTATGGTATTTTCATTGACAAAAGAATGAGGTTTATGTTGCAAAACTCCATTATAGGGAGATTAAACAGTCCGACCTGTCCCTGTAATGTTTGACATCTATCATTTTATGATTCGAGTGTACTCCTTCATGCAGTTGTCATCCAAGAGGGATTATGAATAGCAAACCACCTATCCAACATATACACAAATCATGTGAGTAATTCTTAATGATACTCGAATGGCAATATTTAATTAGAAAGTACCAAGGCAACAGGGAAAGAAATCACACTTTGGACCCTAAATTTATAAGAATGACCGATATTCTGATGACCTATGTTGTGACCGAACTACATGTAACCAAAATTGGGATTCGAACATGGGCAAAGTAATTTTTGTTCATGCTTATATCCCCAAATTTAAGAACTACGAGAGGGTTCAGCCATTAGTGCTAGATGAGTATGACTCTTAGGATGAAGAATGTTTTAAATAACGGTCGCGTAACGGGGCATATAAGTCGAACACCTTAACCATTGGACGAAGTCGATGTAGCCACTGCAGCTGGATGGGACGTTTTACGGTTTTACAGTCGACTCAAATAAGACCTAAGACATTATGACGTCATGCTTTGTTTACATGTACGCTTTTCTATTGGGGCCAGGTGGGAATGAGATCCAACAATAGAACGTGTGACGTCATTATGTCTTAGGTCTGCTTAGGTCTGCTGTTAATAGTATTTCGTATAATAACATTGATTTTGCCTAATCTCAAACAAAAGTTTCATAAAATGTTAACAAAATAATGTGACCTCTCCGTTTATAGTTATATTCGTCGAAAAATCTGCCATGAATATAAGCGTGTTTATTGTAATAACTGCTCTGCTTGTTGCATTACATTTCCAACTGATATTACTCTGGATTATTTTATAGATTTGCGCTAGAAAGCCCTTATTGTTTGTGTCCGTTACAGTTTACAGCCTAGCACACAAAAAATGTATCATGCTTCTCATGATTAGGCTATATCCTTTACAAAATACACTTTTGATGCCCATGGGCACTTTTGTCACTAGACAGATATTTACAATATTAAAGGGCGGATAAAAATGATATAAGCATGAAAAATATGTAAAAACATAAAGAAAAATATAATATACAGTGCATGCTGCCTCTTTGTGTAACATAATTATTTGACCAAAATTGAAAATAAAAAAGAAAAAAAGAAAATTAAAAACATTTGCAGTTCAGTCAATTTGCTTTGTAAACAAAGCCCTAATTAAACATCTCTAGGGTCTAAAGTATATGATTTCAGTTTCACACGCACACACGCACGTTTACGTTACATACCAAGTGTGGACATTCCATTGCTTTCGTGTAGTTCAGAAAAACCAGTGAAAAACTCATTTTTCTCAAACTGTGAAAACTCTTTCAACCCAATTATTTTTTTCTATGATTCATTTTGGTGTTTCTCTTCATTCTGCGACGGATAAACCTAACCCCAAATGCCTCTAAACCTGTTTTCCAGAAATGGGGAAACACTGTGTGGGCTTGCACAAGTCCACACAACGTCGCCTCTACCTGGTTTATGTGGACCTCTTTTTTCGGAAGTCCACACAGTGAATGTTATGCCTACCAACACACACAGCAACAATACAAGACAAAAATGGTACACATTTGCGTATATTTGCATAAGGCAGCCATAAGGAAATACAATACAGCCAACTTCAGTCAGAAGACGTCATAATATTCCAAAGACAAGTTATGACATTTGTGATACAAAACCATGCACTGGTTATTTTAAAAGTATCCGTAAGAAAATTAGAAAAAGTCTCTTGATATTAACAGAAAACTCACAACAGCACTTGGATATTAGAGGCTACGCCCACTTCAATCAAACCCCGCCCCTTTCTATTCAACCCACGGATGTCCCTTCAGATGTATCCATAGTGTTTGCAGAGGAGGATGTGCGTAATTATCGTAGCAATCGTCGCAGTCACGCAAATACTCACGAGAACCCGAAGCACTGTCTTTGCGTACTCAGACTCTGTCAGTCACAAACAAAGAAAAGAAAAGAGTTTCTTTGCCCGGCCATCTTAAATCGAAAACAAGGAGAAATCTGAAAATTAATATATTGAACTTAAACTGATTGGGCAAGAAGACGACCATGGAAGAGGAAGTATACATCATCGATGAACTTTGCTAATCTCTTACAAACTTTGCCTTGATCTTAAAAATCAAACCCTACCTCAGCAATTGTCAAATGAAATTCGGATGTCTTTATTAAAAACTTACTAAGACAAAAACAAATTTTGGGAGGGGCTAAAAACTCTATGAACAAGAAAAGGTGATCATATAGTAAAGCTGGTCCCAGAGCAGATACACTTCTATTCAATTGATTAAGAATTGCTATTCAATAGCAGTCCTTTCATGCATTTGGTTTACACAATGGACCAGATTGTGATGTTACGGGCTAATCATATACGATAGCACTGCCCAAAATCACAGTCGGGGAGTCAGTCAGTCAGTCAGATACGTAGGTGCAAATGTAGGGCAAATGCAGTGGACCAGTTATTCAGTCAGTCAGTCAGTGAGATACAGAGGTGCAAATATATAACACAAGTCTGGCCCCTATGGTACCAGCAAAAACATATATTTTTGCTTACCTGCACAAAACGTTATCAGCACTGTGGCATTTAGAGACAGATCACTGCTCGTTGCAAGGCACGTTAGGTTACGTTCTCGAGTCTCGTTGCCAGGGTTTGTCACGATGTGCGAGCGGCTCACGTTGACCTGCCCAGCTCCGGTTCGTGTCCGGCGTTTGGACGTGATCGTCTGATTGCCAAGCATCCACGTGAAGTTCCAGACCCCAGGTCTGGCGTCTTGAATCCTGCACTCGAATTGGCGCGTGGTGCCTGACTGGACGCAGACGGGGCCATACTCGGGATCGTCCAGCACAGCTCCGGTGGAGGGGTCCAGCAGGTACAGCTTGCTATCTCGTCCTTCAGTCGAAGAGAACACACAAAACAAGCTACGCACGTAACACAATCTGTGAAGGCGATTCTCAGTGTGTTTCTTTTCACGAGGAGTGGGTGAGGGTCTTGACATCAATATTTTGTAAACGAATATTTCTTTTAAAATTTCTATATAAATATAAGGTAGGCCTATATTATATATTTTGACATCGACAAAAGATGCGACTTTCTGACAACATTAAAGGAAGAACTAAGCCGCAAGACAAGCACCAAGAAAGAAGAAAAAGGAACAGAAATCTGAAGAGGATAACATGAATAGAGTATTTGGATGAAAAAAAAACACTTCGAAAATAGAAACAAAATAACTAGACGCAAAATAACTAGAAGAAAATATGTACACATGCAAAACAATATTAGAAATCCCCCCCCCCAAAAAAAAAATATCATGAAACTGCATTGTGAGAAAACCAGAATCAGCCAACTGAAAGAAGTGGATGATATACCAACGTCAAACAGAGAAGAAAAGCTGAATGTTTGCTGTGATATCTATCAGGAACTATAGAGTTCAACCCAACGTGAAGTTAATGGGAAAGTACGACAATCAACTAAGGAAGCAGAACTACCTCCAAACGGACCAAGATGTGTTCAGATTTAAATATTTAAAATATTAAAATCAAGCAGAATATGTGGGTGAATGGTTATCAAACATATATTGAATGCTTTATCTCGTGGTAAAGTAAAACAAGCCTCCCTCGGTGATCCATGGACCATTCTATTTTCCCGAGGCGAATAGAATGTCCATGGATCACCATGAGAGGCTAGTTTTGCTACACCACTCGAAGCATGCAATACTTGTATACTATACTGTTCAACCCAACGTGAAGTTAATGGGAAAGCACGACAATGGAAGCAGAGCTACCTCCAAACGGACCAAGATACGTTAAGGAAGTCATAAGGAATGTGAAGTACAACAAAGCACAGGAAATAAATGAAATTAATAGTGACATCCCCAATATAGGAGGGGAAGAAGTAACTTCAGCGCTAACACAATTATTCAAGCCGATACTAGAGATTCAAACTCGTAGAGATTCAACTGCGGCGGGTGTGGGGCGGGGGCGGAGGGGATGTTAAAGGAGGGATTTACCAGCCCCTCCCTTAATTTGTAAAGACTGTGCCCTTTCCCATTCAATTGTCTTTTTGGTCACCAAATATGTTTTTAAAAATGGCCTTTAAATAACAACAAGTGGCCTTTTGTTTTATAAAACAAGACAGTGGCCTTTTACCAAAAGAACAAAAATAATTGCCTTTCTGTAACTAGCGCACAGTGGGCCAGGATCGCCTCAAAGTGTGCCAAATTCAAAAATAGTGAATGTGACTGTTTCAACTTGATTGAGGAAGAAAACATTATAAAGAACATTTTTCCATCCATATTCAAATTGTTTGTAAGTTTTGATAGTAAACATACAAAGTGGGAAATCTGCTCTTAAAATGATAAAAGTGGCAACTTTGAAAAAAAGGGGTTTGATTTATATGGAGGAGAAAGCAGCTAACTTGTTACTGCGTGCAGTTCGTACCTATTAGAAGTCAAATGCAGTTCTTACCTATTATTAGTCACATTAAAAAATAAAATTCAAAATGGAAACGAATGTACGTTTTGGAAATTATGATCAGATAAAAGTGCAGTTTTGGATAAATTAGTGCGACAGTTACGATTCCCGCCGATTCAGGACTGGCGTTAGCGTGTTTCTGTACGTACGAGCGGGACAATCTCGTTATCAGAAAAGAGTGATCACGTTCTGGGAATTAATTTGAAGAAAATCTCTTTCTCCATCGATGTGTGTTTGGTATTTTCTACGATCCAAATTCGTCCTGTCACGTTATGCATTATGTTGGTCGTAGTCACTGGTTCCGGTCCTGCATCATTAGCTTTGATTCTGATTATAGCACGCGGTGGGAACCAGTAAATTGCGAAGAGTTTTTCGTCAAGATTTAGCATGTCAAGATGAAAATGTTTTTTTTTTTTTTTTTTTATAGTGTGTAATTCCAGCGTATGTGGCCGATACGCACGTTTTTACGTGGGGAGAACATCTTGGGTTTATTTTCTGAAGAAGGGGGGGGGGGGCGGCGCGGCGTGCGTCGGCCCCACGACCCCCCCCCCCCTTCCGATCCGCCCCTGACAGAGTCAACGACGGTTATTCAAAGTTTAACCCTGCCTGAACAAAGAAACACCTACTTAAGGAATCTATTTATAGAGCCTATTCCGGAGCTCCTTTCCGGAGTTGTAACACACCAGAGTGTACAGTCAACAAAGGGACTACTGCCGGCGGTGATCCAGCATGGCGCAGGCGGAACGCAGAGTCTGTAACTGCCGGGCCTACGGTTCATTACAATTACAAACTTCGATATATAACGAGACATAACGAAGGGTAGTCAGTTACAGAATGCGGACCTTTACAAAGTCCCAAAATGGAGGACACTACAAGAGAAAGACATTAAGTCAAAGATCAACGCAGGCTGGAAGAACTTTGGAATGTACGATAACATTTTGACTGATAACAATGCACCAATATTTCGACGTAGGATGCACAACTAATGTATTCTAATAATCCAGACTCATAGAGCAGAAAATGGTCTACCACTAATCTGATCACAACATAGCGGGCAATGGAAGGAAACTGATGCACTTACACCATTAAGTTAATCATAATAAAATGAGAGCTTGACATGTATCAAGATTTCAAGACAACATATAATATATGTTGTTATATGGACTTAAACATTGACAGATGGGCAACCACGAACGGGCAAACGAAGAAGAGGAAGGCACAAAAAACAGATTAAGAGATGACATCACAACATACATGGTTACGGCTACATGGACAAGATTGGCTAGTCAGAGAGGAATGGTACATTGACTAGGAGAGCTTTGTCCAACAAAATTTGAATAAAATGTAGCTTGATGATAATGATGATTTTTGACACGTAATTTGGAGAAATTTAAGGCGACTGTGAGTACTGTTTACAGAAGAAACTTTACGGTTTGGGGAATGCAAAAACCAAAAAAAAAATGAAGGCAAATTCGTTTAGCGTTCAGTAAAACAACGACTTACTCACCATTGATAACGAGCTGCACGGCCGCGTTAACCCCCAAACCGACGGAGTGTGCCTTGCACTCGTATAGACCTCCTGATGACTCTGTTACGGGATCGATGGTCAAACTGCAAGCCTTGTAGGTATCATTCCCGAGGATGAGGTCGGTCAATTTTTTATCCTCATCACAGCCGCAGCTAGTCAACTTTTGGTTGTTGTAAATCCATCTGACTAATGTGTCTCCCCCTGTTAAATTACCGTACAGGACGCACGTGAATGTGATGCAGGATCCAACGGTAGCATATCGTGGGTTTCCTCCCTGGATCTTGGGTTCTTCCGCTCCAGCTTCAAAGAAGGTTGAAAGATTCGCATGAAATTGTAAACCCACCTATTTAAGGTGAAAAAGCATTGGCTTGGCCCTGCGTGCCATGTATGTAAGTCGGTGGTTGGTCACTAGAGTAACGCATCAACAACAATAACTCCTGATTTGTAGGATTATAAAACAAATATTTTGTGCGAACACGGCAGAGCACCAGCGGAGCCTCCGATCCGCCGCCGAGTTCATTTAAATTCACAACATGTATTATTCTCACCAGTAATTGTTCTTACCTGCATTTATTTCTATATTGTTTTTGAATGAAGAACACAGACTTACCCGCGGAAGTGTGCAAGCAAATCAGCGCGAATGTCGTTAAGAGGAAAGAAACCGCCATGTTGCACGCAAGGCTGTGGAAATTTAGAAAATGAAATTCTTGATATAGTGACCAGTAAATGTTGATCTATGCCTGTGATTTGTAAACATCTCAACCTGTGTTGCGAGTGAAATCCCCATCAGTGCAGTTTTGCTTTCATTTTGAAGAGGCGAATGCACCTAAATTATTCATCATATATGATAATCTTTATGATGAAGTGGCAATGCAGCATCAATTTTGTATTGTTTATTGTTTTTATTTCTTTTGTGTACGCATTGTGACTCTAAAAATGAAATACAGTGATATCAATAAATGCTTATGCTTTCAGATATGAAAACAAACAGAAGTTGTTTAAAGTTTAGTTCCCTTAACCGAGTGCAGTTCAGCGTTCATTGAAAGGGTGTGGGCAAAATTTGCAAAGAAATGTTTTTTTTTTTTCAAATGGGGGGGGGGGGGGGGTTGGGATGGGGTCTCGTATCATACTTTCAATGGGGCGCTGTTCAAATCCGACGATTATTTACACTTATTTAAAAGAATATGTTTAGATGTTAAAATACTTTCATTCACGGCTACCGCTGCATGTGACATTTGTAATCAAACAGCAAAAAATAATGTATGCAGCTAGGCCTTAAGGTACATTAAACAAATTGTTTGTATTCGTGATGAAGACATTTTTATCCCACAAAATATATATTCTGTTTTTACCATCTTCTAACAAAACATATGCTATTGTCTTATAGACAACTAGGAAAAAATACATCCATGTTTAGTTTTGGAATAAAACTACTGTTAATTAGTTTTAAAGGAAACATGCAGTCCAAAATTTTCATAACGTATTTTATTTTATATATACATTTATTTATGTGTATTAAATGTGAATTAAAAGCAGAACTGGTTCTGGTGTACGTTTAGTGTGTTAATTTGCCGTCCAAAATTGAACCCCCCCTTTTTGATTTTCGCGGCAACTCCAAATGAGGGCGCTGTTCATGACGTAAACAAAGGCCGAGAAATCCAGGACCCGTAAATGACGTCTGGGTACGAGACGGATTAGCGAAGCTACTGTGCTGTGTGTATGTGCAGCCGCCGCGTACCCATACGTGGCATTATATGCACACGTACGAATGTGTCTACATACATGTACATGCACACGTGGACGTGCCACGGTGCCACCGTTGTCGAATGAAAACAACGACGACCGTCATGACCGTGAAAGTTCCGAAGACTCTTCCTCTTTTTTCCTTAGCGAATCCGATGAAAATGGTTCAGATTCGTCCGATTCAAATCAGAGTTCTAATGATTCAGACAGTGACTCGATGTTTTTTAGGGGCATGCCCAAGTTGCTGTACAGACCAGCATCAAAGCACGACGAACTCACTGGGCCCGGACCACTTTGCTCTGGTATTTACCTTCACTTTGGCTCTCCAAATGCTCCGATATTTCGGATTTACTGGAAACAAATGAAGGCTTCCTCCATCCTTGGTAGTTTTACTACACCTAGCAGCCACACACCTTGGCGGCATGGCCGAAAATCGGGTGTTATTTCTCCTCGATTCTGAACGAAACACCAGAAACTTTCAGTTCCGCAATGTATATGTACATGTATTATGATGCACGCCGCAATGCCGGTGCCCCCCGCAGCGCGGCAAGTCTCTTCCTCGATTTGCGTCATACCCCTCGTGAAGTTTTATGTTAATGAAGCTTCCCTTTGTTGGGCTGAGTAGTTTGACCAAACATGTTCACAAATTATTTTCCCCCATTCATCCCAGAAAATAAACACCGCCATACACAAAATATTGTTAAGAACATCATCCTTTATTGATTTAAGCAAAAAAAAATGCAATCAAACTTTTATTTCATGTTCCCTTCAACTAATAATATGCCCACTGATGATGATAAAGTTTCCAGCAGGGTGAACCTTTTTGCGCGCAAAGCAACCCAGAACTAAATGCTTGGTTTGAATTAAGGCAGACACCGGCAGTGCTGACGGTGTTGCTAGAGTTAGAATGGGAGTTGACATTTTTCCAAATTAATGATTTCGACTCGACGTTAGGCCTATTATTCCCTGCAGGGGAATATTAGACTGACACTGTCTGGCATGCACTGTGCATTGACTTTGAACTTTGTTCAGCCCTTGAAGTTTATGGCAGCAATTGTGTATAATTTATAGACGAGGTTGTAGTTCAAGTTGGAGTAGGGGGTGTGCAAATAATGTTATGATAATAGTCATGCATAGGCCTATTTCGGAACTAAGTGGACAGTCCCCGTAGTGTGAGACGCACGGAGTACCACGGCAGCAATAACTCAACTATATCACAGCGATTTCTTTGTTGGAGGTTTATCTTACCCGACTAAATGTGCGATAATCGACTTGGAGTCATATCTAAAACACTGAGCCGGTCATAACGAACCACAGGTGCTGCTGGTTTTCACAAGAAATATGGTGAGTTCCAGTAATCTAACTTTCCACATATTATCATAATTATGCGCTGTTGGGATTAGCATTCTAGCAATAGGCCTAATCATTATGTGACCTACTGAGGCAAAATGACGAATGTCCCCAAAACTTTCATTTGAGTAATCGACGACTGAAATTAGTCTATGGAATTGCAATTGCGCTCAAGCGTCCATCATATTCGCACAGATTCGGCGATTAATTATGCAAAACAAATTTTGATATCCAGATTCTGGCCATTCAGTGGATGCCTTCTATCGGGTGTTCCGTAACCCGTTGTATTACAAAAAAAAAGGCATCCAAATTGACCAATCAACAGCTTAGTCCACATTTCTCAGGGGCGGATCCAGGATTTTTTCAAAAAGGGGGGGGACGTGAAATTTTGCAAACCTGTGTAGGAAGTTTGTTGTGACACACCACCTCACGAAGCCCCGGCGTGGGGTTCGGTGCCCGCCTTAGGGCCCCGAAAAATTTGGAACTTTAGAAGCTCTCTCGTGCATTTTAGAGCAAATCTGGGGGTCTCTGCGGCAGATTTTTTTCTCAAATTTCAGAGGAGATTGATAATATTTGTTAAAAACAAATATTGAATAATCATGTCACAAACATTGCAACTTCCTAAAATGGAAATTATATGGATTAAAAGTAAGTTTCAAGTTGAGATATAAGTTGGAAGAACAAAACAAATCTGATTCCTATCACATTCCTATCGCGCCATGAAAGTTATCGAGACTGTCCATCAAAAGTTTTTGTTGAAAATTTGCCTTAACTTATAATTTATGAAAATATATTTAAGGTGGGTTATTCTTTAACAATGAAGAATTTAAGTCGTCCAGGCCACTATGCTCAAACAATGCCAATGTTAGTTACCGTCAGCCGCCGGCCGCAGCGCTGGCCGTATATCGCGTCGCGCACTTGGCGCACTATCGGTGTGATAACAGCACTGTGTATTGTGTGGGACCCGGAAAAACCCATTTTACTGTGGTCGAAAAGTTTGCAGAAACACGCTACGGTGTATCAGGTACAAGCGGAACAATCTCGTTATAAATATTTATTGTAATGGAAAATCACGTTCTGGGAATTAATTTGAAGAAATTCTCTTTTTCCATCGATGTTCGTTTGGTATTTTCTATGATCCAAATTCAACGCACGAAACCGTCGCATCATAGCTTTGATTCTGTTGAGAACGCGATACATGCGTCAGAAATACAGGCTTTTTTCCGTCAAGATTTAGCATGTCCATGCAGGTAAAATTATGAAAAGCGTGTGTAACATTTGTATCTCAAGAAAAAAGAAGGGGGCGTGCGCCCAAAGGCCCCCCTCCCCCTGGATCCGCCGCTGTTTCTGATCGAAAAGACGTCACTGTTCGTAGAAGTCTACTCCGATTGACTGGCGCGCGTGGTCGCCTGAAATCTACACGCTACGATATTAGACGTTAATACCGTGGCTCTGTCCACATGAATGTCTAATCATCAGTGTTGTAGTCGAGTACTTTTTTTCCCGAGTACCGAGTACTGCCGAGTATTTAGGTTGCCGAGTACGAGTACGAGTACCTCCGAGTACGAGTTCTCGTACTTCCGAGTACGAGAACGAGTACGAGTATTTGTACTTCCAAGTACGAGTACGAGTACGAGTACCAGCATTTCCGAATACGGTCATAAGGCAATTGGTTTATTGTGCCTAATTGGCCCAGGCCAAGTCAGACCGATATACAGATCCCCTCACGGCTAGCTGTTAAATTTATTTGTCCGGACTTGCACAGAGGAAAATCAGGAAATCTTGATTTCTTCACAATCAACCATTTTAACTTAAAACTATCGATAAAATAAGACCATGGTAAGTGAAGCTATAACATTTCCCCCTGAGTACTGATATTCGAGTACGAGTACTTGAATGATCGAGTACAATTTCGACATGTCGAGTACAAGTACTTTGCTGCCCGAGTACGAGTACCGTCATTTCCAGTACGAGAACTTTGACATTCGAGTCCGAGTACGAATACGAGTACTCCAAAAAAAATACTCGAGTAGTACTCGAGTACGAGTACTACAACACTGCTAATCACCAGACCAGCCTAAAGTCAGATAGACTAATCATGTCAAAATCGATCGTGGTTTTTTATGAATAGCCAAGGTATTGTGGAAAAAAATACCACCAAACTTTAAAAGTGAAATAAAAAGAGAAGCGTTTTTTTTAATTCGTTTTAGAGCGGAATGCATTTTTTCTTCTTCAAAACTGTTAAAGCTCCTGCGGCATGTCTTTAGAATATATTAAGCAATTTGGTGTAATTGGAAAGCCAATGATTTTCGCATTAACAATATGACGTGTATAACTTGATAAGTCAAAGATGGGGGTTATTCCTAATTTTGTTATGGCGGGTCACATAAAAAAATAACTAGGCCTGCATCACAAAGCATACATCGTCATCATGATTATTAATAATAAAGATGAACGGGAAATGGTCATGGTTGTATACCACACGGTAACCGGGATGGGGAAGGTTGGCGGGGAGCGAACTTTTTTTTCCTAAACAACATCCACATTACATGGTTGTTTAGCGCCCTCTACGACA